TCATGGATGGGACAATTTTTATCTATTGATTCTTTTAATATGTATAGTTCGTCTAAAATGTTGGCTTCTGATTCAGAAAATGCGTTTCTATTTTTTGAAAATCTTTTTCGTGTAATTCGTCTTTGTTTGTTTATAATTTTTCTTTTTTTTGTTTGTCGTTTTGTTCTAATGTATCCAACTGTTTGTGTATGAGGGGTGATTACAAGATCGTATTTTTGGTTATCTATTTCACAATTGTGTAAAACGATTGTTTGTTTATTTCCTAAATTTTTGAATGACATAAGGTTTAGGATGAGGGATGCAAGAAGGTGTTAGTTATTTCTATTTCCTTAGACTGTTAGTCCTTAAATTTTTTTTTGTTAGCTTAACCTGGGTCTCTTTGTTCAGGGTTGGAGAGAAAAGTATATAGATTCTGGAGAACGATGTTCTATTTTCTCGTGGCTAGTCTAAGTTAAGGTGTTAACTTACTTAATCTTACTTAGGGGTAGTGATTGTGTTCAAGGGTTGGAGAATAGTAAATCGATCCACAAGGTTCAGGTATAATTAGAACGCAAGCAGTTCGTTAGATACTATTTTAAATTTACTAAGTCTAAAATCTATCCTGGGTCTGGTAAGAGGAGCTTTCAAGTGAAGGATGAATGACCGAAGTTCTTCACTGTTTATCTTAATTTGAATGGTTAATTTTATTGAAAAAATTTCTATTAGTCCTGGGTCTTTTGAAAAGGTTGGGTAGTGAATCGACGTTTGAGGTCGTTAGACACTTGCTAAGTGGGTGGGGGAGAACAAAATTGTTCTTTTTGATTCAAGGATAGGCATTGATGATCACATTTTAAATTTAGTCAGATAGAAAATTTATAAAGATCCAAGGATAAGCCTTGATGATCTGATTTTTAAAATTATGTGAATTTTTGAGTTTAAAATGGTTTAAATTTATTTAATAAAAGATTTAGTATTTCAATGATATTAGTGAGCTTATGATTGCTGTTATGTTTAGGTGATGAAGCTGGAACAACAAGATGATTTATGATTACTAACTATTTATTGTCATGCTAGTAATTTTTATTTTTATTTTCAATAAATATTTTTCAAATATGTTTTATATAATACTGCAGAAATTAGGAAAATGATCTGAGATCTTTTTATCAATCGTTATTGTACATTAATAATTTTGATTAGCGCCTGAAATGATCATGAAGATTTACTTCAAAATTTTATGTTTGCAAATGAAAATCTAAATTCATTGCTAATAAGATTCTAAATATAAAAGATTGTGTTGGCTTTTGCCGTACAACCATAAAACTAAAGGGTAAGTTTCTACGTAGTCGTATATCGTCTCTTGTCCGAGGTCTTCTTCCAATACCAAGTAGTTCTAGTATTGTTCGGAATATCGGCTCTGATCTATTGAGTCGTAGAGACATTTCAATTAAATTATTATCGTGTAACATTTTGAAAATAATTTGTCTAAATTCTAATCTATATTTGGTTAATTCTAAGCTATTAAGGTCTTATTCGAGACTTATGGTCGCACCAGATGAGTTTTAACCGAAGTGGTTAACTCATAGAGTAATTTCGGATAGGGCACACCGTCTGCTCGTCACGCTATCTTATTTTCGGCCGGATAGATTCGTGCAACTTCTTAGTCTAATACCGATCCTAATCTTACTCTTATATCTACTAGTCTCAGGGTGTTTAACTAGACTCTGCTAGGCTCAATAGATCTAGAGTATACTGGCTTATTGCAACTGCTGAAGTTCTCTTGGAGAGGCAACTAATTTCGAAGTTAAATTCAAATCTCTCTGATGCTTAAATTACAAGTAATTTCAGCACTTACAAATAAGTGGGTTGTTAGTTAGATGGATTATGATTGGTTACTATTAAATATTTTACAGTGGTAAAATATCCAATTTATCCAATTATAAAATGTAATTTAGATCAGGTTCCATATTTCGATGAAATCCATAACGATAACTCAATTAGTCAACTATTTGTCATCTTTGCAGGAACTCTTAGAAAAAAAGTTACAACTACAATTTTGGAAAAACTCATTTTGTTTAAAATTCATAACCACAAACGCATCACTGAAATAAACTAAACTAATCATTTTCACGTGTCCACATCACCCAGAAAGTTCCCAACAATAAATCCTAGTCAAAACCCATGTCAAACCTTCTGTGTTTTTTTTTCGCAAAAAGTTTCATTGATGTTCAACCAACTTTAAAAAGCTGAGGAACCAAACGGCATAAGCCAAAAGTGGTCATTGTTTTTTGACGCGTTGTTACTTCTCTGAGTTCAATTTGCGTTTTTTATCATGCAACGGCTATAAAAACTTCTCAGTAACTTAGACGTGTTTTGGAGACATACTTGGCTCTTGCGTCCATTGTAACATTGTAACTTCAATTTTGCTTCTAGTTCCGTGATATCATTCCTTGAAACTTGCATTTACTAATACATGATTGTTTGATTGCCGAGGAATTGCCGGGTATGCTTACCCTCAATGGCTATCCATGGCACCAAGTTTTCAAGCTGAAATCTGGGTATTTGTTTTCCTCTCCACAAAAATTTTTCAAATTTTTTTATTAATTTTTTTGAGTGAAATGACAGACCAGCATCTTAATAAAATACTTGTATAATCGAGCCATTTATATGATGTTCATGCAAAGAACACGATGTCATATCAGAGTAAAGTACTAACTGTCGCAACTACCGTTTAGCGTGTATGAGGTAGTTTTATGCAGAAGATGCTAAAACCTTTCAAAAAGTTTCGAAACAATTTGATTTTTTGTTGTTGTTCGAAGAAAGTAAGTAATATATACGCTTGTGGTGATTCTGTATTCAGACCAACTTTTAAAATAAAACTTTTAGGGCGTGAACCCTGTACCTACGTGGGCTGTACCCCGGGCGCTCGCACACCAATCTATTACTCTAACGGTCTGATCAATCTGAAACGAGTCTACCCGCAATGAGGTTCCATGTATAAAAATTGATTATAATAGATTTCTATGGTCAATCCATAAAACTAAAAACTAAATGATCATAATGGATTAATAATTGATAATCAACCAAACAGCAACGAAATCTGTTTATACCAATATAATCGATTATAATAGATTAAAATGGATTATAATAAATTATAATTTGTTTTACACGAGAGACTGGATTTCTCAAACAAAAAAACTTTCCGTGTAGTTTCAAAACTTGAACATTGCAATCGTTAAATTGAAATTTCATTTCGGCTTGTAATTTATGTTGTTATGATTTATTCTACAACTTTTTCTCAGTATTTTTTTATTTGGGGTATCACCACCGATCGCAAACTTACCCCACAGTTCAGCATACCTATGTCAATTCGATTTAAATTCTTTGAAAAAAATGAGTTTCAATAGATTATAATCGATTGTGAGGTCCCAAATTGTGAATCAATTGTGTTATCCCATTCCTTGTTTGTCAATATTTCAATTACTAAAAAAAATTCGAGAGCAGTCGGAACATTCAGGGTTTTGCCCTGATACGAGCAGTCTTGATTGCTAATATATTTCCTCACACTCAGCTTCAAGTTAAAAGTGCGCTTTCTATGATTTGCGCTTATTAATGCAATATTTGAATCCATTAGCACGCCGCAATCATTTTTGGAAAGACGTCTGAGCTAATCCCCGGTTTTGCTTTTTTGGAAAACATTTGGAAACTTTGCTTGCAATAACTATCCTAGTTTGCCAAAATTGGCAATTTTCAGATTTTCATAGTTTGGCAAAAAAAATTGCCGGTTAAAATTCAGATTGAGTGAAAAATTAATTCTATCAAAATTCGCTAGAAGTTCCGAGCCAATATTTCACCAATTTTTTTTACAAAATCAAGAGTTCTTAATTGAAATGAGAGGTTTTCTAACCCGGTATTTGCTCAACTTGCCCGAAAACGAAAAAGTTCAGACCAGGAGAGGACTTTGGGGGACGTCCCTCATAAATTTGAACCCATCATTTTGTCGGCACTTTTTTCAGAAATTTGCTGGCAGCGCAGAATGTTTTGACAACACAGGGCCTCTAGTCACTCAGGTCTCGTAAATTAAATTTTGAACACACCCTCTCGCGAACTTCTTGATCCGTCCTGTTTGAGACCAGTATTTCCCGAGAGCTGTCTTTGAATTATGTCATTATTATCCGAATCACGGATGAAAGTGTTTTACTAAACAGGATTGAATTGTTATTGCTTGTCTATAGCCATCGTCCCACTCAGGCGCGGATCTAAGATTTTCTCGATGGAGGGGCGGATTCCAAAAAAGGATGAAAATTTTGTCGACCTGTTTTAGGTCGACCGAATTGATTACCCGAGCTTTCACAAATGAGGATACAGACCTCACTTTGAGCAACTTTTCAGCGCCGCAGGCAGTTTTTTTTCTAAAAACAGGTCAAAAAATGCCGTTTTTGGGCAGTTGTTCAAATTTTTGTGACCAAAAATATCGCATTTTTTGGCGTGCGGTGCCTTTCAAAATTACTATATTTTGGCGTCAAAGACGCCTTTCTTGTAGAAAAATTTTAGGGTTGGTCGTCGAAAACTGATGTTATAAAAGAAAGACTTTTCAAGAGACTCTAAGACTATTTTTCCTTTTTCCCAACATGCAAGCTTTTATAAAAAATATTTCTGTTCCCATTGTCCAATTATAACAAAAATTGACATGCGGACTGATTGGGCCATTACAGAAGAATATTTGGTCTTGAAACTTAACTTTGTAAACCCCTCGTTACACCATAAATGTCATTTTTAAGGAAAAAGAACCATTTTTAAACATGTAATACACGTTACATTTAGAACAGAATCTATCTCTAGAACTGAGATTAATTAAGAGAGGCAGTTATTGAAGATTGACTGTAGTAGTGGAAATTATTACTATGCAAAGGGACATTTTGACAGGTGCACATACCGAGACGGGGTTGCTGCGAAGAAGATAAATGGACGCACCGAATGGTGAGAGGGGGGGGGGGTGTTGTGAATAGGTTAATTGGACATACCGAATATGCTGGGGGTTGTTGTGAAGAAGGTAATTGGACTGAGAGGGGCTGTTATGTTATACTGAAGACTATATGCCCTGACAGCTGCCATACATTCTGTGCCTGCACTCAATCCCCCTATTGTGACAGAGTGTGGACGGAGGGGGGTCTGGACATGACAGGCCATAGATTTGTTCCACTTGGCCATTCTTCCATCTCTGCTGTAGAACACAACACAACAAAACACAATTCAGCACAGCACAACACTCCATAATTGTTTCACTAAATTAAACTCGATATAAGTCAATCAGGCACTACTGCTCTTTATTGGGCCATAAAGTAATGGTTTCAAAGGACCGTTTTCAACTTTCATAGCAGCGCCGCAGGTCATAACAGCCCTGAAATCTTAATTTGGCACAATCAAAGTCTGAATAAAGCCGCACTGGTGTCTTCAGTCGCTCCGAGTCTATAGAAAAATTGCAAACGTTTTTGAAAAATGGGTGTCAACGGCTAAGCTAAGAGCCGTATAGACATAGGAAAAAGCCACATCATTTACGAGAGTGAAAAACCATGATAAGCGATTTTTTTAAAATCCTATATGAGGTATAGACACAAGGGCGGATTTAGGGGGGGGGGGGGGGGGCGCGTTTGAAAATTTTTTGAAAATCCCCTTCCCCCCCCCCCCCTACTTGAGAAAATCTTAGATTCGCCCCTGTATAGACAAACTATTACTGTTCTCGGAATGCAAACTACCGCAAGATTTTGCATTGAACGGATTTTCAATTTTTGTGTTTTTTTGTTTAATCATTGGTAGTTTTTTCGTTTCTCAATGGTGTTTTTATTGCTTTTTCATTTTAGAAAAATTTCTCACAGGAAATAAGCACCTAAGCATGTTTCCTATAAAGTTAAAGTTAGAGTTGAGATAAAACTGCGGTTAGGTTCCGTCAAAGCGAATCCAAGAATTGTCGAGATATGACTTCAGCTCCTTTCATTGAGGCTTTTATATTGGTTTACAAATTATGATGCAAATGAACAACAACTTAAGAGATGTCGAAAAAATGAACTTACCGAAAAAATTCTCGGTTTCTTGTTTGCCTGTCGAAAAAAATGAACTTACCAAAAAAAACTCTAGGTTTCTTGTTCGCCTGTCGAAAAAAAAATGAACTTAGCGAAAAAACTCTTGGTTTCTTGTTCGCTTAACATCAAAACATTGATATATTAACAACAGATATCAGGCACGTACGTTTTTTGACACGCTACCTTCTGAAACAGTGAGTTTTTGGTAAGATTTTTGTCTCTATAGCAACAAAAGTTAGCTTCGAATATCGAGCTCTGCTCAAATTAATGCAAGTTTTGATTAATTGGGGTACCTGCATCCTTTCGCTAACTTTTCGAAACAAATAATTAGCAAACTAAAAAGCATGGACTATTTCGTGTCTAAGGCTCTAAGTTGAAGTTAGAGTCAAGATAAAAATGCGGTAAACACTAGATGAGACACTTCGTGAGAGCGATAATCTTGTGTGCTTATTGATATGCGCTAATTGTTCCAATGGAAAATTCATTCAGTCAAAAAACAATGCCCCTCTAAAAAAAAACTTTTCTTTTCATCTCAAAAATCATTTCATCTGTTTAGGGAATTAAAATTCTTTTCAACCAGGGCGGATCTAGGATTTTGTCGAGGGGATGTGGTTTTCAAAAAATTTCCTAAATTTTTCAACTGTTTTTTTTCGATTGACCAAATTGATGCTCTCAGCTCCTTGTTCTAGCAGTATTTGTTGCGCCGCAGGTAAATTTTTGAAAAGCTGACCAAAAAAGGCATTTTTACGCATTTTATGGACAGCTTTGACCAAAAAATTGTTATTTTTTTCGGCGCGCGCTCCCCCCAAAAAATAGTATAAGTTGACGCCAGAAGCGCTTTTACAAAAACTTAAGGGTCCGCCAGCCGAAATTGGAAGTCTTAAAATAGTACCGAAGGTAGGGGGGTCGGATCTTTGAGGAGGAGAGCGTCCCCCACGTCGCTAACCCGTCGCTGTTTTGAACTATATAAATAAAAATTGCAGCTATTTCAGTAATTGCTTTCCAAAAGCAAAGCTCAAAATAGCAACTTTCTTTCTTTCTTTTTTTGGGCATGTTAAAAGACACATGCTAATTGGTCGGTCCTCATGATAAATACATGTGAAAGTTGCAGAAGTGAATAATCAACAACCTTATGAGTTTTATCGAAGATTTCGAAGCAAAGTAGCTTGAACTAGTTCTGAAGACAGCCCTATTTGCATTATTCATGAAGACAACTCTGTAATCCATTTAACTGTACCTATTTGAATTTCAGAAAAAAAAACATTAAATAAAAATTAAGTTTAGAGTGTATTTCAATTTTTTAACTAGCCTTTTTTGACGAGATTTTTTCTATAACCAAAAAGTTTAGTTGTCGTAAGCTTAATTTTAAAAATATTTTACATCTGTGATCACCTGTTAATTTATGGGGTTTGAAAGATTTGCCAATTTGGCTAGTTTGGGATATATAATGCGCAATGTATTTCGTGCTGTTAGCTCGCAAGCGGAGCTTTAAAACGTCTCAGTTGATCTATTTTTTTTGCTGAAAGTAAAAAATATATCATTTTGTACTTATCATAGCATGTGGGGGGGGGGATATTTTTTAAATTTTTTATTAAAAAAACTGAAGAGCATTTACCGTTTTTTTTTAAAAAATTATTCAGTTTCTGCAAATGGAACTTACCTGCATAGATTTAAAAATCAGCACTGTTGCAATTCATGCACAATTATGGAAAAAATTGAGAAAGAAACTAAAGCAATTTTAAAATGATTTTTCAAGCAAAATTCAGTAAAAGAAAATTGAAAATTTTCCGGAAACTGGTGGCTGCAAAAAAACCCACGCCCCTACCCCCGTCTCGGGGATTCAACCCTCTGCCGACTCAAAGGGTTCCTTCTTTGTACCATATTGAGATATCCATTTTTGGCTGGCTGACCCTAAACAAATTTTTTAAAGGGACCTTCGGCAACAATATACACTAATTGAGAGCGTTTTTTGGTCAAACTTATCCAAAATATGCCTAAAAATGCTTTTTTTACCCTGTTTTTATAAAATTTCGCCTGCAGCTCAGTGGTTTGGAAGAGCTTGGAAAATCAATATGATCGATCTAAAAATTATTCATAAAATTGACCAAAGTTTCAAGATGAGTAATTTATTGAGGACAAGTTCACAATTTTTGAAAAACGTAGGGCAAATCAGTATGCGGAATTTTTAATGAAGCTCGCAATTCTACTTCTACAATTTTCAGTCGAAAGTTTTTGCATATGGCAAACTGTGGTGGTAAATTTTGTTATAGCTGGGTCACAAAAATCTAACAAAAAATTGACATCTCATCCGGAAAAAGGCCCACTCCTGTTGCACTTTTTTTGTAACGCGTCCTCCCTAACGCGTCTTTTGTAACGCGTCGTTTACCTAAATTCAAGTTGCACAAGTTTGTTGCGTATTTTTTGTCAGCCCACCCATTTTCTGGGAACAAACATTCAACAGCATAATTAAAACTCTATCATAAATTTTGCTTTATAAATTTAGGCAGTTTATCCTCATATAATAAAGATGTACAATGAAGGGATCTTAAAAACAATTCAGCGTTGTTTCGTTTCATATGCAAATCGGGTAATTTTTCTGTTACCCTAGGGTTCCGAATATCTTGCCAAAACTCTCTCAAATAAGTTTCATTTTGATTCTATCAATTGGTATCAAAATTCGCTTAAATGGTGACGCTGTTAAGTTAGTTTGGGGCTAAAATGACGTTGGTTTAAGAAATAAGTTGCTAAAACACGCGGGGGTTCAAATTTCCTCTCCCTAACTTTTTTTATCGTAGAATCAAACGCTTTTCTCATTATGTCTTTGTATAAAAACCAAATGTCTTCATATTAGGTTGATTAATTCTCATGCCGAACCTATATACAACAGCAAAAGATATTTACGCGTTTGTATTAGAAACAAAATATATAAGCTTATATAATTTGTTTCCAATACAAACGCGTACTTATCTTTTGCTGTTGTAATTAGGTTCGGCGTGAGAATTAATCAACCTAATATGAAGACATTTAGTTTTTATACAAAGACATAATGAGAAACGCGTTTGATTATACGATAAAAAAAGTGAGCGAGGGGAGATTTGAGCCCCCGCGTGTTTTAGCAACTTATTTCTTAAACCAACGTCATTTTAGCCCCAAACTAACTTAACAGCGTCACCATTTAATCGAATTTTGATACCAATTGATAGAATCAAAATGAACCTTATTTGATTCTATCAATTGTAACTAATTCAAGCCGGTAATAATGTTCTTAGCTTTAATTCAGTATCTCTACACGCTCAAAAAATAGATGCAAACCTTTTTTTGCATTCCCTGTAAAGTTCTAACTGTAACTTGTACAAGTACAGGCGCTTAATGCTCCGATTTTTGAAGAAAATGACGGAATTTTTAACCTTTGGGTGGTTTTTCATTCCGTCATTTTTTGAAATTTCAGCTAAAGGTTTTGACAGATTAATTTTGCACCATCTGAAAGATAATTTTCCGGAGCTCAAATAAAAGAAAATCATCTGTAGTCGTTTTCCGTAAAATTATGAAGGTTTGAAACTTGCCAATTTTGCCAGTTTGGGATACTGAACTCGCGATATATTATAACACGCGCAAGCGGCGGATTAAATAGTTTCAAAGTGAATTGAAGCAAGTCATTTGTTTTTATTAGTAGGATACAAGACACTAAACAATCTTTCTCAACTTTACATTATTTGTGGGTGTTAAATTCTAGAAAAAAACGAAAAACTCTTCTTTATTTTTTTAAATGTTATTTGATCATTTTTAAGGCATAGTTTTTCGATTGATTTTAAAGTGCAATCGAAACAATCACTATTTTAAAGTGCAATCGAAACAATCACTATTTTAAAGTGCAATCGAAACAATCACTATTTTAAAGTGCAATCGAAACAATCACTATTTTAAAGTGCAATCGAGTTTCACTTTGATATACGAGCAGTTTTTTTTATCTTGGAAGCAGAAAAGACGCAAGACCATGTTAAAAACTGATTCCATATAGGTTAGACTGACCAGTAAAACTCGAGCACTCCACAAATAGAGTGATGAGGGTAGTTGGACAGCCAAGACAGCTGTGCTTCCGAGGAGTTAATCCGCTCCACGAACGGGGCTATCTGCAGGTAACTGGCCATCAGCTGCATTGATGCTCCCAACTTAGTCCTCTTCTCCAGTATTGAGGTGTTGTTGTTATTGTTGTACTGGGTGATGAATCGAACGGTAGCTGTTGCCGAATCCTGGATCTTTCCGCGGCAGAACACTTCACACCTATACTCCCCTGCGTCCGTCTCTTGTGGTTGCCGATGGTCGTCGTCTCGCGCGAACAGAATCTGAAGGTGGCCCGAGGGAAGAATCATTCGCCTTTAAATCAAACATGCGTTTTTGAATTGCTATTGAATAAATTAAGTGAAAATTACGTGTTTAACATAAAAATTCGATTTGCCCAAAAATATTGTTCTTGTTTTTTTTTCACGAGACTTTCTCATATATGTTTTTGTTTACTTTGGGAAACAAAATTGTACTGACTGTCCTTTAAGGTCTATGAAATAAATTTCCAATAAATTTTCCTTCCAAAATTCAAAAAATTGCTTTTAATAATTTTTAGTCACACAAATTATAGCTTCACCCAGTATGTCATTTGTATGACGGGATGCGTGTGCGTGTAATTGGGGGAGTTATGGCGATCTACCTGTCGGATGACTGGACGAGGTCGTAGTTGAGTCCAGTGCTAGCCCGGAAGAACCAGTGCACCCTGTGCTCTTTTCTGTCCACATTCTCCACACTGCACTCCAACAACACCACCACCCCCTTCATTGTAGCCTCCCCCTCCAAATGTGCATTTGACGAGGGGGAGAACACTGTGACGTCATTAGGGGTGCGTCTGAACAATGGCACCTTACAACCGGGGTAGTCTAAACAGAACGAACTCAGAACACTCACTTACATCTGAAAATACTTGAGTATATTGTTTAATAAGAATTTTTTAGTTTCAGGATTATCTAGTTCAGGATTAACTAGATTATCTAGTTTCAGGGCGTACGTTTTTTTTTCAGGAATTCGACCCCTGCCGCGACCCAAAGGGTCCCCCTTTGTACTATTTTGAGATACCTATTTTTGACTGACTGACCTTACAATTTATCTAAAGGCGCCTCTTCGGCGTCGATCTATCCTAATTTTGAGGGGGGGGGGGGGGGAGAGATTTTTTGGTCGAAATTTTCGAAAAAGTGCCTCAAGACGCCTTTTTTTGACCTTTTTACAAAAATTTGCCTGCAGCGCAGAAATTTCGTCAAATTACAGGCTTCATAATGGTTTGGCAGAGCTCAGAAAATCAATTTGGTCGACCTAAAAAAAAGGTGGAGAAAATTTTCAAAATTAATCCGCTCCCTCCCCTGGAGAAATTCGAAATTCCTAGATCCGCGCCTGGTGATAACGCAATTACTTTTCTGCAGTATTACCCCAAAGTCTGATTTGTACCTCAATTCCGCATGATAAAAACTTAGCTTTTTTTTATCAATTCAGCCGGTTATAGAAAAACAATACAATTTTTGCATTTGCAAATGTGCCTGGGAGACATCCAGAAACCAAAACTGTTGTCCTTAATTTTACAAGATTTCTCCCGAAAAAGCTTTTACAAACGTAGTCATTAGATAGTTTCAATTAAAGGCGTCATTCGCATTTTTTAAAAAACCGAATGTTTTTACCTATGGTGAGATTCAAATCTCTTTTTGCTTTTCGTTTTGATATTTTAAAAATTGTTTTATTTTGTCCCCCGCAATTTCTACCCTCCCCCATCCCCAAAAGTTGAAGCTGAAAGTTCCTAACAAGTGTCTTTCGATGCTTATCAACTTTGTACAGTCGGTGACTTTATAAGCCAAAACGTGAAAAACTATGCAAACAAATTCAAGGCTTATCAAAAAGAGTTGATAAAGAGTTTAACTCACCTTTTCAGTGATTTTAAGTAGTAGAGTTGTATTTTTTAGGATTGAGACACTTTTCTGTCTAATTAATTTCAAAAAATTGTCATGGCAATGCAACATATTACATTAACCATCTTTTGGAAACAAACGGCAAAGTATTCTGAAAAGTCGCTGGCATACTTGGTTCATACTTTTTTGGCCCTTATCTTTAGGAGTAGATGTCATTTCTACCAATTAATTACGAGTAGCCGTCTCGTTGCTACAATCTTATGAATACTCTCTCAGGTCATTTGGTCCAGCTGCTAACCAGAGCGTTTGCAACAAATATTGTTCACACAAATTTTAACATATTTAAAGACTTGTCTCTGGAATCCAGGAACATACAGACAGAAAATTGTGCGCCTATCAAAATTGTAATGCACGCAAACTTTAAGTTATGGCGATTGTTGGTCTTGAAATTGGGAGAATTTTTCCATGTGCTGAGTCGGTTGGGGTACTATTCAATTATTTGACTATCAAAAACAATGGCAATAAAAACAGAATCCATTATTTAAACAAGATTGATTTAAATCGGATTTATGGCAAAGATTAAACATCAAAAAATCATTTGAGCGAATTCAAACAGTTCCTTCTTACATGTAAACAACTGCTGAATTGGAAGCTTCTTCAAAAAAGCTGATCAAACAAATTTTTTATTGCATTGAAAACCTCAGTTCCAGTACCTCTACGTTATGTTAAAAAACAATACAAATCGCATTGGATTTAAATAAAAAATTTTGCTAGACTGTTGGCCGATATGTGAATGTTACGGTGATTGCTCTGTAACGCTCTTTATACTTTGCATTTTTTTCCAGAAAAAAATCTTTAAAAGTTTAATTATTTGTTCCTAGCTTCATAAAAAAGAACCAAAAAGAAGTGGCTTCAAACGGAATATTTGGATCACTTTTTTCACATTGAAGTAACAGAGCAAAACAACACTTTTTAATTAAAAAAACACTTAAAACATAGTTCTCTAATTTTGACAACCTATTTGCGTTTTCATCCAATGTAGAAAATTTTCTTCTACACGACGCTTAAGAACTAATAGTTTTAAGAAATCAGGTAGAGTTGCAAATGTTTCCTTTGGCTAATTAACTAACATCAAGATCGAAAAACCAGCGAAAACTTAATTTAAAAAGTGGAAATAATTGGATTTGTCCTTCTTGACACTGAAGTTTATTTAATTTGCAACTTAGATTTTCTTGAGGTCGCAAAAATTGAAGTAAACCAAACTTCGTCCTAAGCGTCGCACGCTGCTGGAGTTGTCGGTTTTACAACTGGGGTTGACAAATCAAAGAAAAAACAAAAAAAAATACAAAATATTGTTTTTTTTGGTTCCGACCATTGAAAATTGTTTGTTTTTTGTTGTTTCGAAAAAAATAGCAAATTGTTTTCGGGTGTGTTTTAATATTTTTTTTTGTTTTCTGTGCAAAATCAGCTACCACAAAAATTATTGGAGAAAATTGAATGGTTATGAGTTTTTCCAATCATGTTTCGAAATTCGAAATTTTGTCGATGAAGCTCAATTCACCGATTTCATACGCGATCGTATTTTTCTTGCATCACACCACCCACTAAAAACGACACTAAATTGAAGAAAATCAAAAATAAAAGGTTTTTCGTTTTTTCTGAATATCGTCGTAACATCCTGTGCTATTTGCATAGCTACCGGCTATCATGGTTTTAAATTGGAGATTGTTTGCCTGACATTTTAATGCAAAACATGTTCAAAAACTTGCATATTTGCAATTGAATTAATGTAGGCGATTTTGATTGAGTCGCGCCTACAACTATTATAATAGGAAAATAAATGTTTCGTTTCAAGGTCAAAAACTTTTATTTCATACCATTGAAAATTGGGAGAAAAGTTTTCGTTTTTTCTTTGTTTTTTGTTCACATGGCAAAATCAAGTACCTTAAATAATCATCGTATCTCATATCTCCTGAAATATCTCATTTAAAAAAATTTCAGTCTTTTTCAAACGACATAGAGAAACTCAAAACATTTTTTCAGTGTCGTGAAAAACTCGTTTAATTTTTTTTTGGCGTTTTTTTGAGTAAATAAGATGAGCAAGCAGGCTTTTTTTGTTTTTTTTTGTCAACCAAATCAATTACCACAATTAATCATTAGATTGAGTGGACTGATAAATCATAATGAAACCTTTGCAACTCTGATTTGAAAGACATTTAAAAACTTTGACACGTTGTCCCAGTGTCGAGAAAAACTGATTTAGATATTTTGAGTTTAAGTTCAATTTCGAGCAAGTAAAGCTTATTATAAAAGGATAAATCACGAAAACTTTGTTTTGCTCCAGTACAATTTTTTTTCGACAATTGGACAATGAACTTATTATAGCTAAGTCAACGTAGAAACTAAAATAGAATTACAAAAACTTACGCAAATCTTTCGTACATTACTCAATAAAAAATGGAGAGAAAAATCAAAGTTGCAGACCAATTTTTGTCGACGCTGAGAAGACATTTTTGATAATTTTTTGGAATCCGAATAACGTCGAAACTATCAGTGCTTTATTAAAAAACACAAATGATGGATCTAAAATCAGTAAGAAAAAACACACTTTGTCTCTAATTTTTGAATTGATCAAATCGCTGAACTAAAAGATTTAGGCGTGAAAAACTTATTTTACCTGTATCTTCTTTATTTCTTTCTTACCTTTGACTATTAGTTTGGCGTGCGCCCTGTGTGAATCTGCCACACACGTCACCCCCATGAGGTGCATAAGTCCATCTGTGATCTCCCCCTGTCTCTGCCCCCTCAGGAGTCCCCTGATGTAGAGGCTGTTGTTGGGATAGACGCCCATGTACAGTCCCTGTCTGTCATCCACCTGCAGGGGAAACAGGATCTCTGGCTCACCATCCTAAACACACTTGCAAATTGAGACATGATACTTGGTGGATTTTTTCCGTCAGTGTACGATTCACTCTTATTATCCTCACTTTGTTTATAGCATCACACATATAATCTCAATGATGAACTCAGCGTAGTATTAAGCGATATCAATCATGAACCTCGCACATTATTGCTCCGACTTTTAAACCAATTTTTTCAACTGTGCATTATATATATTTAGCACACTGTCTAATTAAAACCAATTGACTTTCATCTGAAGTAATAATTCGTTCATACCGATGTGAATAATCTCTGAAGTCATGATCTTTAATCTCTTGATACTAAAAATGGGAAACTAATTCATTCAATTAAATCTTTCGCTGCTATTTCAATTTATGGACCCTAAGAGGTTATGGGCGATTTCGTGAAGAATTGAGACTCTACGCCTGACAGCATCAGAGAGTAAAATTCTACGGTGGTTTGTATGAATAGGATTTCAAGAGAAAGAAAAGAATTGGTTGTATGAATTACAACTTTGAAAATAGAAGTTTTGAAAGAAAAGAGAAGTTTTGAAAGAGAAGTTTTACAATTCGAAATTTGAAGTGACATTTAACCATGGCACGAAGTATTCAAACAAGATTGGAAAAATTGACTTTTTCGGGAAATGAAAATGATTGGGAGTATTTTGCTGAGCAATTTGAAGCTCGTATAGTTCTTTTGAATTTAAAGAAAACGTTGAAGGGAACAGATGTTCCAGGAAGTAGTGAAAATGAGACTAATGTTAATGATAGAAAAGAACAATTGTGGTGTGAATTAATACAATGCCTTGATCGAAAGTCTGTAATGCTAATAAAACGCGATAAACCAGATGGTTCAGCGGCATGGAATCAGCTGCAAAGCTACTTTAAAAGTACGGAACGACCACGTGTTCAAAGAATGTTAAATGAAATTTCTAATTTGAAATTAGAGGCGAGCGAATCGATTAAGGACTACATACTTAGATCGGACAATTTGCAAATGAATCTACAAGAAGCGGGAGAGGGTATTTCTGAAAAAATGATGATTGCAATGCTTTTAAAAGGACTACCAAAAGAATTTGATAATTTTACAACTGTGGTGAATTTTTCGAAAGATGCAAAAAGCTTGGACGAGATTAAAAGAGATTTGTCAAATTTTGCCGAAACAAGCAAGACTTTTTTGCAGAAAAATTCAACAAATGAAACGTTTTTTAGTAATAAAACTATTAAATGCTACAGTTGCGGAAAGCAAGGTCATAGAAAACAGGATTGCAAGAAAGACATAAAATGCTACAATTGCAATCAAATGGGACATTTTGCTAGAGATTGTAGGAAAAATACCCAAAATAACCATTCAAATAGCAGCCATCAAAAACAGTTTACATCAAAAAATCAACAAAACAAAAGCCATTTTACTTCAGAAAATGAAAACACTGTCGACTTTTTCAGTTTTCATTCTAATGACAATGATTTTGGCGTAAATTCCGACAAATTTTGCTTGATTGATAGCGGTTGCTTTGCGCATATGTTTAAAACACGCGAATTTTTTACGGAACTTGATACGAATATTAATGGAAATGTTGGCTGTGCAAATGGAAGTAATTCAAAAATTGTGGGAAAGGGAAAAGTAACGTTTAATGTTCAAACAAGTGATGGTCGATTGATAACTATAGAACTGAAAGATACTCTGTTTGTACCTACGTATACGGCAAATTTAGTTTCTGTATCTAAACTTAACAGAAATAAAGCTGATGTAATGTTTGATGATGTTTGTCCCAGAATAATTTTACCAGATAGTTCTGAAATTTTGCTTCAAAATCAACGAGATCTTTTCAAAATGAAAATTGAACTGGCAAATGAACACTCTGTGGAAAATGTTGCAATGGTTGTTTCGGACATAGAAATTTGGCATAAACGGCTTGGTCATAATAATTTTGATGACATCAAGAAATTAGAAAATCTAACGGAGGGAGTTAAATTTAGCCAAAAGAAACATAATAACTGTGTTGATTGTCAAACTGAAAAAGCTAAGCGGAAAGCGATACCAAAAGTTTGGGGGACTAGAGCTACAGAAAAACTAGAAATTGTTCATACGGATATTTTGGGACCAATTGATACGATATCTGTAGACAATTTTAAGTACGCAATAGGTTTTATTGATTCCTACACAAGATTTTCTGCGGTTTACTTATTGAAAAATAAAAGTGATAGCACTCAGATGCTCAAACAGTTCATAGCGGATTATGGTAAACCAAAAACAATAGCTAGTGATAATCCAAAAGAGTTCAAATTTGGAAAGTTTAAACAGTTTTGTCTTGATAATGCCATAAGAACTGAATTTTCTGCGCCTTATACACCAGAGGAAAATGGTAAAATAGAGCGAACTTGGGGTAGTGTAATGGCAATAACTAGATGTCTTTTACAAACTGCCAGCATGGAAAAGAAATTTTGGTCTTTTGCATTGAAAACAGCTTTCTACTTGAAAAACCGAGTTTATCATTCTGCAATTGGGGTAACCCCATACGAAAAATTTTTCCAAAGCAAACCTGATTTGAAACACGTAAAAATTTTTGGTTGTGCTGCATATATGTTTGTCGAAAAAGTAAACATGAAAAAACTTGATTCAAGGGCCGTGAAAGGATTTCTGCTTGGATATAGTCTGAACAGTAAATGTTATATAGTAGGAACTGAGCTTGATGGAAACTTTGAATTTTTGGAGAGTAGAAATGTTACTTTTGATGAAAAAGTTTTTCCTTTCAAAAATGACGATGAAAATGATTCTGGACGGGAATTGGAAATAAGCGTTGAAAACTATTCTGAGATTTCTGAGAAAAATTCTGCGGATAATGTCAATGGCGGAAACCTTGAAAATGATCAATTACGCCGCAGCGAACGGATCAAACAATTAAATGCGCCTGAGATATCATTTTTTAGAAATGAGACAATTTTTGATGAGTGTTGGCTAGCTGATGCAACTTTTTATGTTGATAATTTGCCAAAAAATGCTAACGATGCACTTTCTAACCCCAATTGGAAAAAAGCAATGCAGGATGAATATAATTCTCTGATCAACAATAATGTCTGGGAATTAGTTCCACAAACGGATCAAACTATTTTGGGGGGAAGGTGGCATTTTACTTTGAAATACAATAATGAGGGGGGAATTTCAAGATACAAGGCAAGATATGTGGCTAAAGGCTACAATCAAATCAAAGGCGTTGATTTCAAGGAAACCTTTTGTCCTACAGTAAAAATGGCAACATTACGACTTATTTTAGCAATTTCAACAGCTAAGGGTTTTGATGTAAGACAATGGGACGTAAAAACAGCCTATCTAAACGCTAATTTGGAAGAGAATGTCTTCCTGCAACAACCTGAAGGTTTTGAGCAGAAAGACAGTGGGGGTAATCAACTTGTTTGTAAGCTAAATAAATCTATTTATGGATTAAAGCAGTCAGGAAGAAATTGGTACTATACCTTACAGATGTTCCTTAAGTCAATAGATTTTACAGCGTCAAAAAGTGATCCCTGTCTTTTCATGAGAATTTCAAAAGATGTTTTGGAATACGTATGCATTTGGGTGGATGATATAATTTACGCTTGCAATGATGCTAACAAGTTTATATCATTTGAACAACAAATATCTAGTCAATTCAAAATCAGCGAAACAGCAAAACTTTATTGGTTTTTGGGGATGAAATTCAACTTTTGTGGGGATGGGTTAGAAATTTCTCAGGAAGCGTATATTGACAAGCTACTGTCAAAATTTGGTTTGATTGAGTGTAAACCAGTGTCTACACCTGCAGCTGATGGTTTAAAACTTTGTAAACGGCTACCAAATGAGGTGAAATTAGCAAACGACAAAGATTATAGAGGACTTATCGGCAGTCTAAGTTACTTGTCAATTACTACAAGGCCTGATATTTCATTCATCGCTCATTGCTTGAGTAGATATGTGAACGACCCTACTGAAGTACACTGGATTGCTGCAAAACGAGTTCTACGATATTTGAAAGGAACTAGATCGTATAAACTTATCTACAGACGATGTACTGCTACGCCAATCTTGTATGGCTATTCTGATTCTGATTGGGGAGGTGACAGTGACACTAGACGCAGTACTAGTGGATATTGCTTTTTCCTGTTTGAAAACAATGGTGCAATATCGTGGGCTAGCAAACTCCAAACTACTGTTGCAAAATCTACAGCTGAATCAGAGGCTACAGCTCTTTCGTTAGCCTGTAATGAAGGATTATTCCTGTTGAATTTACTGATCGAAATCAAACTCGATTTAATTGATTTCAAAATGTTTGTGGACAACCAAGCATGTATTTCTCTTGTGAAAAACGACGTTAACAAGGGAGTCGTAAAACATTTTGCTATTCATCTACATTTCATCAGGGACTTAATTCAAAAGAAACAGTTGGATTTGAACTATATTGGGACTGACAATATGGTGGCTGATATTCTCACTAAGAATTTGGGCAAGACAAAGTGCAAACGTTTTGGGCTTCAGATGTTCGCCAATTGAGTGGGGGTTTCAACTGTGCATTATATATATTTAGCACACTGTCTAATTAAAACCAATTGACTTTCATCTGAAGTAATAATTCGTTCATACCGATGTGAATAATCTCTGAAGTCATGATCTTTAATCTCTTGATACTAAAAATGGGAAACTAATTCATTCAATTAAATCTTTCGCTGCTATTTCAATTTATGGACCCTAAGAAATTTCAGCAATCAAAACACTAAATTTCAGCCAAAACTTTTTATACTTCGATGAAATTATTGTTTCCCAAATCAAATTCTAAAATCATTTTGACCTGCGTTCTGTTCATTTTGGGGGTCTTATGCACTAAACGGCCCAAAATTAGTTTTTCTACATAGAACTAAAAATTTTTGTGTTGAGTCTGATTGGCTAATTCAACAACGCGTACGTTTCGTCGATTAATATTTCAAGCAGATAAAACCTTGTCTGGGGAAAGTTTCACGAATGACGTAAAATTAC